TCTACTGCCTCCTGTTGCCGCCACAGAAGATATTTAATAAATCGGTTACGTACGCGCTGTAAAGAGAAGCGGCTGCAGGATCTCGAGTGACGTTATGTCAGTTGGAGTTTATCAAAGGGGCGCGGCTAACGCAAAGCGCAGCTCTTTTTCTCTTAAAAACGGTACATCATCTTTTGCGAAATCAATTACAGAGAGGGAATTCAGCTGGGTGCAGTGCAATCCTTCCGCTTCCGTCGTGTCTTTCTGTCGGCGCGGCGCGGCGCGGCGCGCGGCGGTCCGCAGGAAGCAAACGAATAAAGGGATATTGCTTATCCCTTGTACTCGGTTAACTTCCCCCCCTTCCCTTCCCCTTTCGAGAGGTCGTTTCGTCCAGCGCGCGCGCGCGCGCGGCCGCTGTCCGTTGTACAGGCAGAGGCGGTGCCGGAATGTATATTGCGCCTTTTTCGCGTCTACAAAGGGCTTGTTGCCGAAACGAAGTTGCATGTCGTCCGCCCAACTCATTTCGCGAGAGCTTTGCAGATCGCGCGTGTGTTACTGCAGAACATGAAAGCGCAAACTAAATGGTGCAGCCGTACAGTAGCGCGTGTAGGTAACATATGCAGCGACAGATTCCCAGATTCGCGGAATGTGCAAACGTGTCGACCGGGACGGTGTTATCCCCCCGTAGCGAGAAATCGGATCAAAATATTGAACAGCTCCGCAATACCTGCATTATACAGGTGAAATTACAAGTGAAATAACGATTCACCGAATCCCGTGTGAATTACCTCGTGCGAGTTACCGCGCGGGATAACTCGCGATAAGTAATTGTTTAATTACTGTTAAAAATAATCTTATCTACATAAGTTGTAATTTTACTTACAAAGATATACAAATGTACATCTTTAATAGTCCCAAAATTATATCCACTCTAATGGTTGTAATTTTACATGTAACTTTTTTTTTTACAGTGTAGATTGACAAGCGCGTGGTGGTAAAGTCTTTCCGAAATCTACCTCCTCTCCACCGTAAATCGAGTTTTTTAAAGCGACATCGAACATTCATGGAAATGTTAATGTTTCTCTTTGCATTTTTTATTAAACTTTTTTTTTATGCGCAGAATAGGTACCTTTGCAGAACGTAGAAACTTTTTATCAACGCGAATCATCCAATTATTCAGTAGCGAGAGTGGACGAAACATTTGAATATCGCCGGGGCGGACGGATTTGCCGGCTAGGATGTAGGTACGCTCGTGACACTCGGCCTCGCACGCGCGCGCGCGGTTCATAATTCACGCGACTGTTAAACGACACCCGACATTCCGCCGCGCGTGTAAACTATGTTTCATGCCACGTAGATCTTAACGAATCGCGGCGAGATTACGGCGCGGCTGTATAACTACGAATACCCAACTGGAGTGCGAACAACCGTCGCAATATGTATAATGGACATCCGTGGCGATTGCAGCTGGGATGTCCGGCTACCGCACATCTCGATCTTCAAAGCCCGCAATTTGTCTATGATTTCGTAATTCTCACGCGGTACCCACGTGCACTATAAAAAAAGTGTGTTACATAAATAATATATGCAAAAATTACACAATTTATATGGAAATTTTGTAAAAATTCACATTAACATGGAAATATAGAAAATGTGAGTTTTTACAAAAATTAATTTTTTTCTAATTGCAGTGTAAATATATCTTTATGTTAAACAGAAACTTACAACGACAATATAGTATATAATTTTTATGTAAATATAGAAATTTTTATTAAAACGTACGTAATTCATTCGCGTCTCATTTTGCGCAATAAATTTAAAATTCAAAGCTATTGCTTAGGTAATTAAACAATATTATTATATGTTGAATAGTGTTAGTGAAAGTGAAATATCTCATTACGTAAATATGTCTATAAACTTAATTTCAGTTGTAAATTTACTTTTACAAATTGTTTAATTACTATTAAGAAAAATAATGTTATATTTGTAAGTTGTAATTTTACTTACAAAACTATATAAATATACACCTTCAATAGTGGGTCCCAAAATTATCCACTCTAATTGTTGTAATTTTACATGTAATTATTTTTACAATGTAAATTGCAAACGCTTGTAACGAAGAAGTGAATCTCCCCTTTAAAATCAATGTGTTTCTTCTATCAAAATTTAATTAAAATTAGAAGCAGAGAAGAAGACGTATGATAGTTATTCTACAAAAAGAAAGTTTCGTAATTGCATACGCAACGTATTGGAGATATTCTATTTCTATTTCTGTTCGTGATCGATCTGCGAAATGTAAAGTTCGGAGAGAGGGGACACTCAATGGTGCGCCGGCACTTATATCAGCGACACGGTATTATTAAAATCGACACGGTCTCCGACTTCCGGGGACAAAGGATGCGGTTGTTATTTCCCTTGAGTGAGCATCGATCCGATACAAGTTTCAATTTAACAGCGCATTTCCAATCAACGAGGCTTTACCTCCGCGAGACGGTTCCGGCGGGCGCAATTTTCTCGGAGCAGTTTTCTCGGATCAGGGATTTCCGCCGCCATCATTTCCGATTAACGATACCACGTCGAGTATCTGTTCGTATTACATGTACGAGTATCTTATGATTCTCAACGATTCCGCAGGTATATTATTGACAAAAAATCGATTGAAAAAATATTATTTTTAATTTAAAAAGAAAAAGAAAGAAAAAATCTATTCGACAGTTAGAATTATTGGATTTAATGATAATAATTGTTGGAAATCAGTCATGCGACGGACCATGAAGCTGACGCTACGTTAATGACGATGCCGGAAGCGGGGAATTAGAAAGACGTGAGGTAAACGCAACGGCTGCGGGGCCGGACTTTTGCTCCAGATGAGATTTTAATTCAACTTCGGCCGTTAATCCGCCGCCGGTACGGAAACGGAATTAATTAAAGCTGCTTAACGGGTAAGACGGGCAATTATTGGATTTACAACGCTATCGCGCTCGCCGGGATTAAACTGATACGCCGATGAATCGTTCGGCGTCGCGCTGGCGCTTCGACGGCCGCAACGTCGCCGGCTTAATGCACGCGCGCTTGTGCGCATTGTTCACAGAAATCCCTTCCTTTTTGTACGTCACGTGCACGTGCAGCGTCCGCTACGTTTGATCCGGCGTAGCCGGATTTTCGCCGCCCCCTCGTCGCGCGCGATGCGAGATCGATTGCTCTTTTTTTTTTGGACGTCAATTGAAGCGTTGACTCGTTCCACTTACAGCGTTCGTGCTCTTTTAGGAGATGCACGTTTTGGAGGAATTGTGCCCGATTGCACCAACATTATTTTGACGTTAAGCGAAGCTTAAAACTCTTTCTTTCTCTCTCTCTCTCTCTCTCTCTCTCTCTCTCTCTCTCTCTCTGTTTCTCTTTCTCTAAAGAAATAAGCCTGCGTGTACCTACTTGTAACTATATTCCTCTACTAAATATCTAAGACCCGATTGCAACATTATTTTGCTTTTAAGCGAAGCTTAAAACTTTCTCTTTCTTTCTCAAGAGTTGCAATCGAGTGTTAAGCCTGATTGCACCAACGTTATTTTGATTTTAAGCGTCGTCTACGTTGAGATTTAAGACTAAAGATTTAAGAAAATTGTCCAATCATAATCGATTATTCATCTTACGTGAGAAGAATAAGCGATTGTGATTGGTCAGTTTTCTTAAATTTTAAATCTTGAGTCTCATTGTAGACACCGCTTTAAGCAACGCTTAAAACTCTGCCTGTCTTTCTTTAAAACCTTAGGACAGAGAGAAGAAATGAGAGTTTTAAGCCTCGCTTAAAATCAAAATAACGTTGATGCAACGGGACATTAGATATTTAGAGGAATATAGACACACAAAGATACATACTGAACCAAAAATGTACGTAAATAAAATTGTTCATTGTTTCCATTGAAAATTCATTAAAATTGTTCCAATGAATTTACTTTTATTCTTACAAAGATTAAGGTTTTATAAAATGATTTAATTGAGGTTATTAAACTATTAATTAAAATTCATAGTAACAATAAACATGTACATTGAATTATGTATATTGGATTTTATTATTATAATGCATGTAATTGTTAATTTAATGAATAAAATAATACATTAATGTTTATAGTACACATTTAATGAATAAATTTATTCATTCTATAAACACGTTCATTGGAAGACTGAACTTTTTTCATTGGTTAATTAAATGTTACATTAAGTTATGATACATTCATGTTTAATATATAATATTAACAAATAGTGATTTGTTATATTAATGAATCTAATATTATTGACTAATGAAAAATATTTAATATAATCGTCATAATATCTATTAAAAGTTCATTGTATCAATGAATTTCATTTGATGTACGTTTTTCACATTAGATCATACCAAGAATATTTTTCTCAGTACACGCAGGCTTATCCACGCACGTATATATACGAAGAAATCATTTTCGACAGAATATAATATATCTCTTTTACGAATATTTAAATGAAACGCCCAGTCCTGTCTCTCCTATCAATGTTCTTCCATCTCTCGTTATGCGGGAGAGGTAATGCCCCGTGATACAGTTTCCCCACTTCAATAAACCCGAAGTGCGCGCAACGGTTAACGAGATTCCATATAATAGAAGAACGGCCCCTCACCCGGAGCACGCCTCTCCCCGCCGAAACGGCCGAAGTTTTCGGCCTCTCGTAATTTCGGATCGGGTATAGGGTACCCACGTTTTGCCGGACGCAAATTTAGCGGTATGCGCGCGCGCGTTTCGCCCGGCTGCGAGGACTCATTATCGTGTTCCCACGAACTCGTCGAATACCCGCGATGTCCCGGAACAAGAGAGAGAACGTTCGTTCGCGCCCACCGCCGCGCGCTGGTTCGTTGACCGTCCGATCCGAACGATCGGCGCGAATTACTTGGGTACAGAACGCGAGGGAATGGGTATCGGATACGGTCCGCGTTTATGAGCCGACGCTTCCCCGACGACGCTCCATCGGCGACGACGCTGCAAGCACGTAAAGCCATGTCGCGGCTGCTTTTTTGGGCATTCTCGACCGTTGGCCTTTGGGCGAGTTTTTGGCGTTGCCGAGCGATACTGCTGTACCCCGAGAATACCTTGTTTCAGGTATCTTCAAAATTTACCGTAAATTTTTATAATACGCGTATCTTATCTCGAGAAGGGGAATTTCACGTTTCACCTCGCTTTTATCGTTCGGTTGCCTCAAGAGAAGTTTTTGTAGCGTTATTTAGGGGCTCTTTGCTTTCTTAATGCCGCGGGCACTTTTTTAAAATGTTCTTTTTTGTAAACGTTGCTCTGTAATTATTTTTTTGATAGTAAATAAAACTTCAATAAAATTGTAATAAATTCGAAACTACATTGTGCTTAACATCTATAATTGATATTAACACTGAAGCTTTGTGTATAATTTTGTTATACGAACTCGTTAATTTTACAAATTTTGATAGACGATTAAAATTCTCTGCATCGAAAAAATAGCATTTCGATCGAAAGCGAGCTATTATTAAATAATATTTGGCCGCTGCGCACGAGAGCTTTTGGATTTGTGCTCGCAATTCGCTCAACAAAATATTTATTTGTCGGTCGCCAGCACGTTAATTAGCAAATCTAGTCCGACCAGAGATGAATTACTCTGCTGAGAAGAACATTCACAATTTTGCTTCAAAGAGAAGAGGTCTTTACAGGAAACTTAATTATTTCAAATTTTAATTATTTCAGATTTTAATTTCAGCAATATATTTAATATCTCTAATTTTATATTTAAACAATACATGTAACGTTTCTTAATATCTCTTAAAGAATCGCTGAATGTATAGAATATTAAAAAGGGAAGCAGATAAGTAAATTCATTTTCGTGCAGTTGCGCCACTTGCCCTCGCAATTCGAATCGCCTTTCTCGAGATGTAATCAAGAGAACATTTGCTCGACAGTTTACTCTGGGTATCTCGATGCCGGTGGCGATGACGAAGAGGGGCGGCATCGCCTTCTCCGCGGGATTTCAGCTCAACTACGCCCTGCCGTGGAACTTGACGCAATTCGAACCGACGATAATTCCCGCGAGACACGTCAGGGATCTCGATTTGCAGGGAACTTACGTCGCCATTGAGAACCTCTTGGACGAGTAAGTTTGCACTAATCGCTCTCGTACGTTTCCCCGGTTAAAGAGGCTCCGCCGCGAACTGCTCCTGTACCCTCTTTCCTCTCTCGCCGCAGCTTCGGCGGGAAGTTCCGAGAGGAGAAAAGCGTCTCCGTTTATCCGGTCGCTTGTGTATGCATTAATTAAATTTGCCGGGGAATGAAAGCGAGAGGCGCGCGCTCAATAAAACTCCCGACGGATATATCAATGGTTTCAATTTGTGCGCGGCACTTACAGCGCCATCGAGATCGGCCCCCGAACGAGCGGGAATTGTCGCTCTCGTTATTCTCTTGCCGCTACTCTTTTGTTCGCTCTTCGTACGCGCGATTTCGGCGGAACAAGCGCGCAATTTTAACTCGTCTCCGCGCGACGGGTTCGCACAATGGCACAGTCGAGCGCGGAAGATTTAAATTTGGAAACAAATGCCGCGCATTATACCGCGCGTGATTGTCCGATGGATCAGTAAACGCGACGCGACGAACGCGCGAGCGAGTAGGTATAGTCTCTAAATAATTGACTCTTAACCCCTACTGCTGCGCGCTGTCGGTCGATGCCGATGATCTGTTGAAATCACATTTTGGCCACACATTTCGAAATCACATACTGCATTGGAAAAAAAATTGGTTGCATTAATTGCAATCAGAAAATCTGATAAATTTAATCAGTATGTTCGAAAATCGACGAATCAGAATTCTTGATTTAAGATACCCAGACGAGCATGATTAATTCTCTCCTGTTAAATCTATTAGAATTTTTGTTGGTCAAATCATCTAAATATATCAACTTTTTGTTGATCAGACAAATCTTTCCTGTTAAGTACCAGGATTTCTTGTTATGTGATTATATTAATACTTTTTAGCACATATCAATTTCGAAGAACTATCCAGGTTCTTGAATTAATTTTTATACAGAATTAAAAACTAAAAACTGTACTGTCTATTCACTAAATTTTTTGAAGTGAATTTCACTCCAAAAGATTGAAAATACTGCCACTCGGCCACTCACTCCAAAAGAGTGAAAATTCACTCCAGAAAATTTAGAGAGTATCAAAAATATATCTTTCAGTTATTTTCATCCCACTTATAGGGATGATGAAAAATTTCATGATGCGTCTTTTTTTCGCTTCTGTGTGATTCTTAAATACAAGAATTGAACTCCGCCGCGTCCATCTCATGGCAACGCAGTGCAGCGTATTGCTTGCGAGAAATATCGTATACAACGCCTGAATATAACCAAAAATTTTGTAAATCCAGCTGGAAAATATTAAACAAATCCTTGTAATAAAATCTACATGAAAAGAACGATTTTGTTCTAAAAATGGAAGATTTAAAAATTTTGCTATGTTGGATACAGATTTAAAAATAATTTTGTTGGAAATTCAACTTTGGTTGCTAGAATATCAAAATGTTTTACAGCAATGCTCATAATTTTTGAGTCTCCAATAATATTATTTTGATGGTCCAACAAAATTGTTTTCAGATCTGTATCCAGCAAACTTTTTAGACTTTCTAGTGGAATCGTTCTTTCCTTGTATCAAACGTTCTAGTTATACAATATTGAATTCTATTATTATAATCAGAAATTCTCTTTCATAAAAATTTATTTAACCATATATACGCTTGTAGGTTATACAATCAATCATTTTCTTAGACACTGTTTTTCTCTCATTTTCGGCAAGGCTTCAGAAATATGTTTGTCGTCAATACCGAAATTGTCAAATTTGATTCTCTCAGCCAACATTTTTAAAATCTTGCCCATATATGCCAAAATTATTTTATACTATATATTTGCGCAATCCATGATATCTGTTGATGGCCGATAACACAGATATCAATGATCAAATTTATTCGTTATCGATTTTTGAAAGTCATGATTTTATATGCAGATCGTAGTCGCTATAAATTTATTAACAGATACGTTTTTTTGTTACGTTTTTTTCCTATTCCTATTGATCAAATAAACACATGTGTACATTTTTCATTTACTCTTTTGTAGAAGAACAATTCGAGTCTCTGGCTTCAGAAATGTTATCACTTATATTTAATTATACCATTATTAGGTTAAAAGGAGTGTAAAAGTGTACGCGCGGCAAATTGGCAGTACAGATCGCGCGCGAAATTCTGCCAACTCTGCAGCGACTACTTTCAGCGACTAGGGGCGTCACCCTTCTGTATCACTCGCGCCTTCACTCTACGTAAGTGGGAGTTGCCGTCCGCAGGATCAAAGGGCGACAGGGGTAAAGACGACGACTCGAACATAAATTAATTGGGACATAAGGCAATTACTCCGCTGGGACGCTGGATAGCGTACGCTGCAGGGACGTACTTTATGGGCGAGGAGTTTGCCCTGAGAAGGCAATAGTAATCGCGTGTAATAGTAAGGCACTATAAGATGTAGGTATTCCTATCCGCCATCTTGGTTCCAATTGGTTTAATAGTTACTTTCCATTTTCACATAAATAATACTGAATCTAAAGTTATGTGAGTATTTTTATACTCAGATAATAATGTTATTACTTGTTTACTTTGGTAGAAAGTTATCGAGCGTAAAAGTATAGGTTTTACCTCACTTTTAATATGAATTAATAGACTCAGTAAAGCATACGATTTCGAGCTTTATGCAGATTATAATTAAAAACTCAGTTGAATCTTACTTATTAGAGTAAAAAGGAACGTACATTCAACTGAGTTATAACGTTACAAATGAGAATTACCTGAGTTTTGGAGTAAATGAAAAGCAACTAATAAGTGATGAGTTTATAGTACGTCTGACAAAGTAAATGTACAT